CCCCGCTGCTGTTTCGGGATTTTGTCCGCTGCCCTTTTAAAGCTGTGACTTGTATCTTGACCTTTCTGGCGTTTTATTTTGATGGGAAGATAAAATATTCCATCAAAATATTAGGGAACGAAAATATTTAAAAATCAAACAGCATTTGAGATAACTTAATGTAACAGGGGAATTACTGTACATAAACTAAAATATTTCTCAAACTTCAGGGAATTCATGATGAAATCTTTAAAAAAAATACTCTTTCAAGTTAATTTCCTAGGTTTCTCGTAAATAAAAAGTGTTTTCTTTTCGTGGTCTTTAAGGGCCTGTATCGTATACAAAGGGGTGTTAAGAAATGTGGCTCCTGAGCAGATGCCAGCGGCCTCTAGGCCGCCTCCATGAGATTGGGGCGTTCACTGGGGCGCTCACGTCTCTTTAAAGGCCTGTCCTCGCTGTGGGTCTCTGGGGGGTGTTTCTCAGTGAGTCTCAGGTAAGTCAGATGCGTGAGAACCTGGTGCTGTTTGAACTGACCCAAGTGGGAATGGCAGACACCCAAGAAGTCACGGGAAAATGTGCCTCTCGACACTGACCCGCTAACAACAGCCTGTTGGCCTCGCCATCCAACAGCAGGGGCGCGGCCCCGGACCAGATAAGGGGGTGCCGCGGGCTGCCCTGTGTGCTGCACTCTGTTCCCAGAAGGAAAATCCCGCTGGTCATCCGGGGAAATGGCTCTTTCTCAGGAAACGGCCTGAAAACACATCTGGGAACCGGCTCTCCCCTCCTCTGGTGCGCACGTTGTAGCAAAACACCCCCCCACCTTTTGAAAGGTGGGTTCTGCGGGGCGCAGGCCATCCTAAGCAGACACTCAATTTCCAGATACAGCGGCTGCTGCTGTGCACCAGGCCGAGGGTGAGCAGGCTGCGAGGACAGGGCACTAGGCCCCTGCAAGCTCCGCCTTCTCCAGGGCACCTGCTCCACGCTAGCCACCTGCGGGGGCCTGCAGGGGCAGAGATGACAGCGCAGGCGGCAGACAGTCCCTGGGGGCCCACCTCCTGGGGGCCGAGGCCAGGAGGTTACCAGGCTCAGGGTGCCCCCAGAGGGCTGGGAGGCCCCAGCCTCGCCTAGGAAGGAGGAGCTTCGCCATGGACGTGCTCCTGTCAAACCCTTCGCCAAGTGGCCATGAGGTAGAGGAGGCGCAGAGTGGCGGGTGACGGAGGTCCTGCTGTCTCCCTGAGTCGCGCTTTCCGTATCCACGTGGGGACACAGCCCACCCGAGGTCACATGGGCCTGTGTGCGTGTGTGTGTGTCTGGCACTTTCCAAGATTCTGATGGGTTCGGCTTTTCAAAGCAGATCTCTGCCAGGGACGCTGCTGGGGATCGATGTCCCCTCCCTCCACCTCCACCCTGGGTCTCTCCCACACGACTGCCGGTTGGGTGCTGAGCGAGCTGGACACAGCCTGGGCCCTGGGGCCGTCCGCTGGGTGCTGATGGGGAGTTGCGTCCTTTCCTGGCCGCTGGCTTCCTGAGACGCTGGTCCAATGCGATGTCGAGAGCCTCTGAGATGGTGCTGGCACCTCCGAAGGCCTGCTGGACCTCGCTGCAGACTGGCCCTCCTACAGGCCCAGCAGACACCTGCCCAGCAGGGGGCCCTGGGCCCTTCCCCGGGAGAGCTCTGGCTCCACCTGGTGAGCTGAGGCACAGGGGCCGGGCTGGTCCAGTCTTTCTGGTCCCATCAACAGGAGCGCCCCTGTTCTAGCAAAGCACAGGGACTGAGAGCCTGAAGACCTCGCGGGGAGTGGGGGACGCCACCGCTCTGCGGCCAACATCCGGCGTGGAGGAGAAGGCGAACAACATGAAGAAGATAAATCGCCCCTGCACACTGTTGGGGGGACAGCTAGAAAAATCATAGGCTGGGCAGGTGGCCGCTGCTGGGGGGCTGCTGGGGTATTTCTCATTTTGGGCTTTGTATGCCCTCAGAAAGCCCTGCAGGACCCAGAAAGCCCCGCAGAGACAGAGTCCTGGGGACACAGGCAGGCCCCGCGGACAGCCCGGGAGGGTCCGGGCTGCGAGAAGGTCACGGCCGGTGGGGGCGTCCTGCAGCCTCCCATGCTGTAGTCAGGCAGGAGGGTCATCGGTCAGTCTCCACTAGCCGAGGGCACAGCCCCGGCCGGTCTCCCCAGGTGGCCTACTCCCAGGGACTCCGGTGGCCTCTCCTGAAGCCACAGTAGACCTGCAGCCCCTGCCTCTTGGCGCCTGCTGTCCTGTAGCAGGAAGACACGTGGCTGAGGCCGCTGGACACTGCAGTCCGCGAGCCCTGTCTTCCAAGCTCATGTGGCAAATCTGCCTTCTGGGCACCAGGTGGGGTGGCTGCGTTCTGGGTGGCTGTGGCCAGGCAGGCGGCCTGGTTTGGACTCCCCAGATGCCCTTTCTGGGACACTGCCGAGGCCCTGGCTTCTCGTCTCCAGGATGAGGCGGCCTGAGGCTGTGACGGCCTGTGGACGCTTGCTGGCCGTCTTCAGAGTGGCCCCCTGGGCTCCACCTGGCCTTGGCAGCCACAGCCCTTCAGGGCCGGCTGACCCGCTAACTCTGAACAGCCAGAGGCTGGGGCTGCTTCTCTGTGGCCTGAGTGGTTGAGAAAAATCCAGAGACGAGAACTTCATGACATGTGAAAATGACCAGAAATTCCCACTTCTGAGCCCACGAGTAGGGCCATGCTGGCTCTCAGCCCGCCCGGTCCCTGTGGGTTGTCTGCAGCCGCCTCCACGCTGGCGGCCAGAGCCCCAGAAAACACCAGAAATACCAGCTGAGCCTGGCCCTGGCAGCGACTTCGACTTACAGGCCCGCACAGCTGCCTGGCATGACACCCCAAGGGCACAGGAAGGCCGGCGTCCGCCCCAGGGCCGTACGCTCCCACCCCACTGCTTTCTGTGGGTTCTGTGGCTCTCTGGGTCTCTAGTCTGAGCAGACCTGCCACCTCCCTCCGAGGCCTCTCTCTAAACATGTTTGCCTGGAAGGCGGACGAAGGTGCCTTGAAGTCACAATGCGACACTGACACTTTGTGAAATGCTCTTGCAAATGGCGAACACACTGAGACATCCAAGCTCTGCACGCTGTGCTTCTGCCCATCAGAGAACCGTGCACCCCAGGAAGCTGCACCTGTGCCAGGGGCTGACGTGATGGAGGGTGTCTACGGGGGGAGGAAAAGGACGTTCCTCAGTCACATTAGCTGTTGTGTGTCAGTTTAACCCAAGAGCCCCTTGGAGAAACAAGCGTCTCATTTTGCAGGCGGGGAAACTGAGGCTGCGGGGGCTCTGCCCCACCGTCGCCAGCGACAGCTTCCCTCTCCCTTCACCCCAGCAGGCTTCCTTCCCTCCGTTTCTAGAGTGGAAACCACATTCCAGAGTCTCGGTGGAACCACCGCCACCCTCCACACCCCCAGCGCAGGAGCCTGGTTTTCTAGAACTGGCGCTTGGAAGCAACAACAGAAACGCCTGCACTCCCGTGGCAGAGCAAGCGACAGAAGCGGCCAGCCGCTGCCCGCGAGCCCCCCCAGTCAGAGGACAGGCTGGCTGGAAGATGCAGGCGCATCTTTCCCTGTTGCAGTACCGGGGACCCCAGGTTGAGAAGCCCTGCTCTGGGGGCGGATGAGAGGCCGCCAGGAGCAGAAGGGATGTTTTTAACAGTCTAATTAGGTTGCTTGAAAACACATTCCGGGAAAACAATTCACTCTACAAACCCCTCAGATCCTCAGGTGCTCACAAGCTAAAATCTGAATCCTCCATCCCCCGAGAGCAGATCTCGCATGGCCTCGTCTGAACCTGGCTTTCGAGGGTCCAGGAGCCCCGGCTGGGCCACCCCCGGGGGACCCGTCTCGAGCGCTGAGCTGTCACACACCACGGCCGGTCTCCAGTGCCCCCAGGTGTCCTCTGGCTGGCCGGCCGGCTGCTGCCAGTCTCTGAGGATTTAGCTGTCAAAGGACGTGACCGGTGGGACTCAGCCCGAGAAGTGAGCCAGAGCCCTCCGGAGCGCAGGCAGCCCCGGGTCTCAGGAGCAGGACGGCAGCGCTGCGTCAACACGGGAGGTGAGGAGCCCGGCCCCCTCTCGAGCAGACTGGTCTTGCTGGCCCTGGTGACCCCTGCAGCCTGGAGCCGGTCCTGACCTAGCAGCGGGGAAATCTGAACATGCCCCTCTCTACCTCTCTCTGTATAAATTGAGTGTCTGCGGAACTGAATGGACGGGGAGCCCAGTGTATCTGACGCGCTCCTGGAATACTGACCTGGGCATTTCCTTTAAGAGACCGAATGTCAAAGCTCAGAAACTGACCATCCTCACATGATTTCACAAAGCAAGGTCGCCCAATTAAAGAGCTTTTAAAATGAAATGTTTTCTACTTGGCCAGTAGCTCAAAAATCAAGCAATACCAACAAGACTATTTTTCCTGTGAAAAAGGCAGAGTTTACAAGAGCGAGACTTCTTCCTCTCTGTTTGCAATAACAAAAATAAACCAAAGTCCTAACATATTTGCAGTATTTTTATTCCTAAAGGGAAAAACAGGAACTGTCATTGTACTGTAGAGCTGAAGCTATTTACCCCAGATATTTTACCAGCGTCGCCTGGTGCAATCAGTGTCAGACAAAGGAGACCCAGGGCTCCGTAGGAAATACTCAATTAGGGTGGTGCCCGGGACCCGGGGGGTCCTGCCCGCTGGCCGCCCGGCCCCCGCCGCGCTCGCCCTGGTTGGACAGCACATGCAGCTGGGGCCGTTCCGCGGGCTGGTGACCCCCTCCAGGAAGATAACGGAGCCCGAGGGCGGAGCAGCAGCTGCACATGCCTGGCTGCTCTTATCAACTTATCATATAAGGAAAGGAAAGTGATTGATTCGGATCCTCACGCCGCAGACTCTGGGGGAGGAGGAACAAAGCAGCCAGGGCTGATCCGTGAGGAGCACAGCCCTCTCCAGCAAGCAGGGCTGCCCGCCCCGCAGCCCCGCCGCCTTACCGCGGGCCCGGAGGAGTCGGCACGGGCGCGGGGCCCGGGCCAGCGGAGAGCAGAGGCTCTGCTGATGGACCTTCAGCCCGGGCGGCGTGGCCCTGCCTTGCCGCAGGCGGCGTAGGGCTCCTGGCGGGCCCCCGTGCTGAAGTCTGCTGAGTGGGTGGTGAGTTCCCGCAAGACAGCAGAATGTGGCAGCTTGTTCTCTTGATTGTGGGCTGTGATCTGGCTGCCGCTGCCGCCTACAGCAACTTTCGGAAAGGCAGCGAGGGCGCGGGGCGGAGGCAGTATCAGGTCCAGCACGGCTCCTGCAGCTACACCTTCCTGCTGCCCGAGGCCGACAACTGCCGCCCCCCGGCCAGCGCCTATGTGTCCAACGCCGTGCAGAGGGACGCCCCGCTGGACTACGACGACTCCGTGCAGCGGCTGCAGGCGCTGGAGAGCATCATGGAGAACAACACGCAGTGGCTGCTGAAGGTAGGGGGACACTCGGGGCTGCAGGGCCCCCAAACCTGGGGGCTGCAGGAGAGCGGCAGAGCCCTCTCCCCGGGGGAGCTGGCACGTCTTTGATTCTGCCTGGGTGTAAAGTGTTCTGGGGAGAAGTGAAGGATGCCTGAAAGGCGCTCTCAGTGACAAGCTCGCCAGCCCTGCTCCGGCAGGGGAAGCTGCTCGGCAAAGCCCCAGGCTGTTTTGTTTAAGTGGCTTCGGCTCAGCCAGGCTCAGCCCCGCCACCGCCAGCGGGACGTCTGGGGAGCCTGTAAACCGGGGCCGGCGCACAGGGAAGCCGAGGGGGAGCAGCCCGGAGCCAGGAAAAACGTGACAATCATGTTAATTACTGATACGGGGCGGAAGGAGGAAAGTGCTTTACCAATTTCCTGAATTTATTTACTAAAATAGATCGAGGCTCTCGTGAACGAGAGGAAATTCAATAAAGCAGAACTTAGGTTTCTCAGAATCTCAGGGCTTTACCGCGACCGGCTTGTCATCTGGGAACGGGTGAGTTTCCAGCCGCCCGGCTCCCTGGGGCGGGGGCTGCCAGGGGCCAGCGGGAGGGGCACGGCGGGACGGCCGGGGCTCCCGGAGCTGTTTGCAGAGATCTTAGAGAGAGTGTAGTCGAGAGGAGGTATCGGAAGCTCAGCTCTTCCTACACATGCCGGCCGGGAGCTGTGTCCCAACCCGAGAGCACAAGTCCCTCTGCACACGGGCTGCGCTCCCCTCGGGCGGCCACGCCGGCTGCACGCGCCATCAGCCGCTGGCAGCTGCGCCGGCGACTCGGGGTGCACCGCTGCCCAGGGGGAGGACGGGCAGCGTAAGCCACGTGGGGACTCACAGAGGTGCCCCGTGTGCCTCCGTCCCTCCGGAAGGGGCCCCAGGTCTTCGCTGGGCACCACACTCTGCGGGGCGACCTATCTCAGCCCCAGGGTAGGGTCTCCACCCGCGGGAGGGCGAGGACGACCCGCTTGCTCTCAGCCGAATGAGTGGGCGCCCTCCCATGGGGCGGGGGCCACGCCCCAGAACGAGACCCCCTTTTCCAGGCCCGCCGGCTGACTGCGGGCACAGCCACGCGGGCCACGCCGGGGAGAAGTGGCAGCCCTGCCGGCGTGCGGGGGCAGGCGTCCTATCCCGGCCTCTGCGGGCCCGCCCTGTGGGTGGCCAGGCGACAGCCACCCAGGGGATGGACGCGCCAGCACACCGTCTCCCGGCACCGCGGGCCCCTCGGGAGGCGGGAAGCGTGAAGGAAAGTCTCCCCGCGACGGCTGCGCCGCTGCACCGCCAGCTGTGTCTGTGCAGAGTGGGGGTGCACGGCACCCCACAGCTCACCTCCTTAGCCAGCCCCTCCTCTGCTCTCTGAAACTGCTTAAAGAAGGCAAAGGACAGGGGTTCTACACGGGGTGACCCCAACTTTTCCATTTCCAGTTTCGATTAGCAAATACTTGAGCAGCAGCTCAACGGAGTCTCAAGTCCTCCCCTGGCCAGTTCGCTGAGGACACGGAGGCTCGTCCCATCCCTGGCTGGGCGCGGGCTCTGGGGTCAGTCTGGGATGATGCAAAAACGCAAATAGGAAAGCGTTTCAGGGGGAAATGTCACCTCCCGTCTGTTTTGTCACTTGTGATAACAAACACTGTCCCGCTGGAGGGGGAAACAATGCCTCTGCGCTGATGGACACGGTCCTGGGTCCGCCTGGGGGGCGCGCGGGGGAGGGTCCGGGGAGAAGAGCCAGCTCTGGCCACGCTGCTTCACACACTTCCTTTTCTTTGGGGCTGTTTATTTTTTTATGTTTCTGTTTTTCCCTTTCTCTCCCCGAGCAACATTAAAAAAGAGAGGCGAGTGGGGGAGGAAGAGACATTCACAGACCTTAAAGCTTTTAAGAAAACCTGTCAAGGAAAGTCAGACCAGGCCGCCAGCTAAGACCAGGGCAGGCAGAAGCACTCCGGTGGGACCAGGGAGCTGCCGGCGGAGGCAGAGGCAGAGGCAGTGCCGGGCGGCCGGGGAGTGCAGGGGTTGAGGGGCCAACCGGGAGGGTTCAGCCAGGAGAAGGCGCATCCAGGCCCCAAATGCCCGCAGGCACCGGAACTGGCCCCTGGGCACGCACGGTTGCCCCGTCTGCCGCAGCCCACAGCCAGCCCGGCCTCCGGCCCCCGGCGGCCGTGCTTCACGGAAAGCAGCAGCGACCCGGCAAGCGGGGCGCACTGGCCGGGACGGAGCGTGCCTCCCCCTGCCCACAGGAAACAGGGAAAGGAAATAAACAGCCGTTTCACACCGGCGAGTACCTGCAGCTTATAAACAACGGCAAACTCGATTGTGCTTTAAAGCAGCATGTTTTGAAAAATAAGGCTCATGCCTATTAAATTGATGTAAACATTTCCTCTGTCATTGTACTTAAAAAAAAAAAAAAAAAATAAAGACAGCAGCACAGGCCGGGAGCTGTGCCGGGCCGGCCGGCCTCGTCCTTTAGGAGAAAGAGTAACATCGCTTCGCCGCGCTCATCAGCCGGGGTGCAGGGACAGCGCGGTTTGGCTCCTAAAACATCACTGTCCGTGGAAAAACTGGCAGGGAGAGGATCAGACTGAGTGCCTGCCCCTCCCCACCCTGCAGGGACTCGTGTGTGTGTGTGTGTGTGTGTGTGTGTGTGTGTGTGTGTGTGTAAGAGAGAGAGGGGGGGAGAGTGGGGAAGGTGGGGGTCAGGCTGTGTGACCCTGGTTAGCTGGATGCCCCTCCCCGCAAACAACGCCCCAAGCCTGGCTGGGCACCGCAGAGAAGCCCACGGCTGAGGGCGCTCCTGGGCCGGCGGGAGCCGCATCTGTCGCTTCCTGAGCCGTGGGCAGGACTGTGTGTGGCCCTGGAAGCAAGTTTGGTGCATTGGGATAAACTGACGGGGCCCTTTACTTAACATGGCAGGAAAGCGGCTGCTGCCGTGACTTGACCATGTGTTAGCATCACGGCAATGGCAGGAGGGACGCAGGGATGGTGAGGGACGGTGAGGGATGGAGCAGGGGGTGCGGCGTATGTAAACCTGGAAGACGCAAGGGCGGTATCGTCTGCACTGTATGGTGTGCGAATTAACAGCGCACGCGGCGCCAACCTCACCAGCACCTAAAGCCAGACTAACGTCCCACTGGCTTTGCACAGCCAAGCAGCCCCGGGTCTCTGAGGGGGTCGTCTGACGTTGGGGTCACGGCTGTGGGGGCACCATGCGAGGGGGCACGACTCCTTGCCTGCAGGGCCGGGCCTGGGAAGTGGACTTGTGCTTGCTTCCCGCGTAGGCTTGGTGCGGCCTGGCATGGCCATCCGCTGACTTTAACCAGCGCAGGTCTTTACGGTTTGGACAGGTTGTAATGCAAAAGTTTCCTCGCAAACCAGTGACGAGACACGGGACTTGATGGCGATCACGGCCTTCTACATGGGGATCAGAGAGCAGGCTGGTTCACAGGGTTCACTTTAATCCCTACAATAACCGAAATTTCACGTATTTATAATCGAGAAACTACAGCTCCAATCAAAGCCACCCATCTGGGGAAGTTTAAAAACAGAAGAGGAACAGTGTGAAGTGACATCTGTGCAATAACGTAAAGAGGGGCCCGGCCACGAGCAGGGCAAGTGGGAGGGCGCCCGCCCCAGGGCAGCTCTGGGGGCCGTCCCCCCATACCGGGAGCAGCGGCTCCGTGCGAGGCCGGAGCTGGTCCCAGCTCACAGAGGACACGAGATGAGGTTGCAATAAAGAGACTGTGATTAGGGAAAATGTGTGTGTGTGTGTGTGTGTGTGTGTGCGCGTGTGTGTGAGAGAGAGAGAGAAAGAGAGAGAGAGAGAAGCGGAGCTGGGGGGGAGGGCGGGAGAAGGGGCAGCGTGGCTGGCCCAGGGGTGGTGTCCATGGCTCTTTATTCCGGGCACAGAGTGAGCCGGGGCCGGCGGCCGTGCGGGCTTCCCGCGGGCGTGCAGACGTCTGTGAGGGACCGGTGAATGTGGAGACCGACTGAGTCCGCTCCTGCCCGCCGCAGGGCGGCCTCCGTGCCCGGTGGTCACACCGACGCAGCAGTCAGACTGTCACAGCGGAACAGGCACTCGCCGTGCACACCTACGCCCCCATGCCTCCAACGGCTTCTCGGGGACACGCCTTCGTCAGGGGTGAAGACACGCTCGCCCTTCTCTGGCCTGAAGGAGCCCACTGGGGTTTCTCCTGAGACAGGCGGGAGGCCCTCTGATGTGAGCGGGCACCCACCCTGCGGCCGGCTCCCGTCCTGGTGGGGGGCAGGTGTGGTGGCATCGCGGCGTGACAGCACCCACTCCTGGATGCTCCCCAGCGCCCCGGCAGGCGCTCAGCCCCGGGGTGGCCCAGAGCGGAGGCCGCCTGGGCCCACGGCACGCAGGGCTCTCGGGTGAACACAGTGGTCACCCGGGCCCCGGCCCAGAGCAGGGGTTCCAGGTCCAGCACTCAGGTTGCTGTTTGTGCAAAAACACACTCACGGCAGCCTGATTGTGCCCAGGGTGTTCGTGGTGCTTGAGTAAAACAAGGGGTGCAAAGAAAATGGCCTGGGGGTGCGCTGGGGGCCAGGCTATGGGATGCCCCCTCCATCATCTGGGAGTGGCCACAAGGAGAGAGAACGCAGAGGGAGAGCAGGGGCGGGGTGGGGGGCGGCGGTCACCACAAGGAGAAGCTCTTCTGTAAAAGCAAGATCAAGTGCCCCTTCCTGAGTCGTGGCTTCTCCTGACCAATCACACGACGTGGGGCAACGGGATAGAGAGCCGACGGGGCGAGCTGGCAGCAGACGCTGGCCGGCCAACCATTCCGACACGGACACACTGTGCCCTCTGGAGCTCCCCCTCATGAAAGCGGGGGGCCCGTGGGGGCTGAGCGCTGGTGCTCAAGTCAGGAAGACGGCGATTCCCAGCACCCGAGTCCTGTTCCAAGACGCATCCTGGCACCCCAAGTGCCGCAGCGAGGCAGTGGGTGGGCATGTGATGGCCAAGGAGGGCCCCG